CCCCCCCCCCCTACTATCCTATAAATTATCCCCCAGGGCAATGACGCACGAGGCAAGGGCACAAACACTAAAATTTCAAGGGCTGATAGTATGACGCACGAGGCAAGGGCACAAACACTAAAAGTTCAAGGGCTGATAGTCGATAATGCTGTCTAAAATGTTCACTTCAGACCAAAGAAAACCTACCTCAGGAATTGCGTTTGCGTTCATGTGCCGAAGCGTTTATCGAGGCGGTCACTTGGCAAGGATTAGCATCCGTCGCAATTCCTGGTTTTACTATCAATAGAATATGTTACGTAATGGGCATCGTACTCCGAAGATTTGCTTCTCGTGTACCACCTGGGACCCAGTCTTGGATAACAACTGCGGTCGGATTGGGGGCAATACCGATAATTATACACCCAATTGACAGGTATGATATTTGGCTGGTTTATGCATAGCCTATCGAAGGGAAGATGGCTGTGAAACTCATTAGAATAACAATATAACTCAGTCTATGTTAGTCAACGTTTATCAGGGTTCGTACAAGTCAGGAAGAGTCAAATTCAAGGACTTTTCAAGGACATTCAAGGCCATGTATCAGCAAATTCAAGGACTAAATACTGAAGAAGAAGGCGTTAGAAATCAGCAAAATCTGACGTTGAATTGTTCAAAACGTAACTTTATAATGAGGTCAGATATGAACATGCAAAATCAGTTCAACAAAATGTTCGTCTTGAATGTCAAAAAATTTCAGAAAATATCCAAAAACTAAAGCAAGAAGAATTCAAGGACATTCAAGCACTTCTTTACAAATTGAAGGACATTCAAGGCCTTGAATTTTTGTTTTCATATTCAAGGACTTTCAAGCTTTGTACGAACTCTGGTTTATTCATAAATCTGGTCCTTCACCGTCACGTGTGTAGTGTATTTTTGCCAAATCCACCAATAGCAATTTCCAATTTCCCTATTGTTCGAGTCACGGATAGGTAACTTTCTTAAAACATTGCTATTGGTTAGTTGGGCAAAAATACAATACACACGTGACGGTGAAGGACCAGAGTTATGAATAAACGTTGACTAACATAGATAATAAGTTATATTGTTATTCTAATGAGTTTCACAGCCATCTTCCCTTCGATAGGCTACGGTTTATGCTATCAAAGTTTCCTGGATCATAATATGATAAACATTTTTTATCCCACAGATCTGTGGACTATATCATGGCCGAAGCTATAAAATTATCAGGAGAATTTGGAGTAGAACATAACATAGACCATAGTGACGGCTGGTCATTCCCCGGACCAGATACACACCTCGTACAGGAAGATTATGAACATAATCTTGACTTATTTTGAACAGAATCGTACAAAGTAAAATCTACTAATACAATGTTAAAGTATAACACATATTTATATATTAAAGTGTTTTTGTAAATATTCGTATATGAAATTATAGGGATTGATCAATCGCACCAGTAAAAATCACCGACTGTTTAATCGAAACTGGGTTCGATTTCAAGTCCGCGAAGCCAAGGACTGGATTTTATGCGAGGACTTGAAATCTAGTCCAGTCCGAATTGGAGGATTTGAAATGACATCTCGTACGAATATATCACTACTTAAAGTCAGGTGAATTATTTTTTATCCAGTCCAAGGACTGAATTAATTTTCATCCTGTCCTAGGCAGGGATGGATCCAGCATGATCTGGTGTGCTCTGTTTGGTGCGAGTTGTGTCGGTCATGTGTGCCGCCCGCCCATCAACTTGCTTGACTACTGCAAAGTCTTGCTTGACTACTGTATTTGAATTGTAATTGTTGTTCACAGTTCGCTTATCATCATGTTATTACTCAAATTACCGTATCTCATTTTGTCTCCAATAATGTTTTGCTTTATCATGAAAAATAACACCCCCCCTGCACCCAGGACTAGGGGGTGCAGTAAATCCATCCCTGGTCCTAGGACTGGATCAATATACTTCATCAGGTATCCAGTATTATCATGTGAGCAAAATAAAGCAATATGGTTGGCTAATTCACTCATGAATTATTAATGAGTTTGAGAATTGGAGATATAATTGGGATTTTTAATGCAAAAATCACCTGATTCAGATGATTGGTCAATCACTATAAATTTACCAAATCTGTTTATATTATATATTGAAATAAATTATCCCGTGAAAGAGGAAGTAATTTTTAACATTTGTAATTAAAAAATGCTACAAAAATTATCATAGCGAAGTAAAACATACAACTTTTAACCCCAAATTTTCGTATTTGCATATCCGAACTTGGCTGCCACTGGTACCTGGTTGTTTTTGCATGGAGAAAATTATGCAGATTTAAGATGCGCCTTTGCTTTTTGTTTGATGACGTAAATTAAGGTTACGAGATTACCACCGCCAAGAATTAGGAAGAGAAACGCACAACACGGAACCTGTTGAAAATAAAGGAATACATGGCATTTTGTCTTTTGGGTGTTACTATTGCAGGCCTTACAATAGCCTGCATGCGTGACAGGCTCTCTGGGTTTGGGGGAGGCGATGAAAAATGGAAATCCCCCCTCCCCAAACCCAGAGAGCCTGCCACGCAGGTTAGCCTTAAGCCTTGGGCAATCTAGGAAACATTGTTGTGGAAACATTTATGATTCTCGAATTTTTCTCAAATTTTTCCCCGTTTGCCTACCCTTGGAAACATTGTTGCGGAAACAAAATTTGCTTCCCGAGAAGCAAAAATGTTTCCTGGCGAATTCAGAAACATTTGATGTTTCCCTATGTAGAACACTAATGTTCCCTAGTAGAATGCTGTTTTTAGGGTTAGTAAGATCATTGAAGTCCACTCTGGGAAACATGGCGAAACATTGGTAGGAAACAATGTTTCCGCAACAATGTTTCCTAGTTTGCCCAGGGCTTTACAATAAAATATCGGTCAGAGAACTGTCTGGCAAAATATTCGATGACTCTGAGTTTGGATCGGATATATGTATTGTGATGTCCGATGACTTTGAGTTCAGTTTGGCGTGGAAATAAGTACAATAGGAATGCAGACACAAATTAATATCAGCACAATTTGGAAAAGTCATTTGAATCTTGGCAATGAATTTCCGAACCCCACGGCACAGAATAAAGACAGACAGAAGGTTGACTCAGCCAAAAAAGCGTATAGCCGCTGCCATGCCATGATTCGTCATCAAAATGCTGACGCCATGGTCCTAGCCAGTGTCACAGAATAAGGCACACAGAAGGTCGACTCGAGTAACCGCTGCCACGCCATGATTCATCATCAAAATGCTGACGCCATGGTCCTAGCCAGTGCGCGTTTGAGAGGCATCCCCCCCATGGACGTCAGCCATTTTGAATAATATCAGGGGGTGAATGCCTCTCAAACGCGCACTAGCTGCGACCATAGCGTCAGCATTTGATGACGAATTACGGGTTACGCCAAAATCATAGGAAAATGACAGGAAAAACAAAGAAGTCGGCCTTCTGTGTACCTTATTATGTGCCAATGCGCTCATTCCACCCTCTAGGCGTCCGCCGTTTTGAATATTATCAGGGGGGGTGACTGCCTCTCATAAGCGCACTGGCTATAGGACCATAGCCTGCGAACAGGCTCTCAAGCTGAATTGAGAGCCTGCATCGATAACTAATGAATTTGAATATCTGCCCCGTAACGTTCGTTTTTCCAAATATGGAATGTCTATCCTTATATGGTGTTGTTTACAACTTTCATGCAAACTAAATTTAGACCGTGCAAACTAAATTTAGACCGTACCGTTTATACTGTTTTTCGAAATATAAGATGTTCAAGCAAAAGTTCAAATGTTTTAAATACTGTTTTCTCAAAACAGAACATTTCGTGCTTTGATATAAGACGGCCAAGACCAATTTGATCAGTTAATGTGTTTTTTATGGACTTTATGCATAGTGCTTCAAGCAGTTGACATACATAGAGCTCAGCGGAAACATATAAATTACAGCATCTGACCAATGAGAATTTCGCGTCACGATTTGAGACGCAGATATTCAAATTCATTAGTCATCGATGCAGGCTCTCAATTCAGCTTGAGAGCCTGTTCGCAGGCTAATAGGACCATGGCGTCAGCATTTTGATGACAAATTATGGTTACGCCAAAATCATAGGAAAAACCAATAAGTCGGGCTTCTGTAGAGTCTCTATTCTGTGGTGAAGCCCTGGTAAAGCTAGGATGGTCGATGTAGAATCTTATACCTGCCACAAGTCACATTTCGGGTGTTGAGCCAGATGATATAGAACGTAAGCATTATAGAACTGAAGGAACTAAAAACAAGTGATGAAATTAGAATAATATACAACTGGAAATAAAATGCTTTTCATTCACTGGCAACAGGAGATCTTTTACTTACATAGCCGACGCATAAAAATGGCACAATAAATCCCAGTCCCTTGGATCTTTTTGTGTCAAGACCGTCTATAAAAAAGGAAAAAATCAGGAGAAAACAAACTTTGGTAAATGTCGAAACTATGCAGTAAAAACACACAATTTGTGTAGCAAAATTGCAGCAGTGCTGTTTCAACAACTTGTCGTTAGGATGTGTTCGTTCGCACTGCTTGTTCACAAACTTGCAGCTGCTGTTTCAACAACATGCTACAAGGTTGTCGACTCACAAGATTTGTTACATGTTGTTCCAACAACTTGTTATCGTCGTGCAACTCAACAACTTGTTAGGGAGTTTACGATCTACGACGCGGCCGGCTCGACGACGCGCTTTCAAAACAAAGAAATTTGGTGTTTCCACAAACAATAGTATGATGTGTTTTATCGCCATGCAAACCTACAAAGAACTTACAAAGAAATTTGTCATGCAAGACAAAAACTGTCAATAATTTGTGGTCCCATGACAACGCGAAAGCTTAATGCGACACAAGAGGTGTTACTAAAAGTCGAAATTACAGCAAACATTGCATCGCTTTAGCCGAACGTAGCATTTTGAAAGGTTATTTGAAAGCGTCAAATATTTATTACAGTAATCGAATTGCTTAGCGCTCATTCTTGAGCTAAAATTTAGACCGCGTCGTTGAGCCGGCCGCGTAGCAGATCGTAAACTCCCTATTACTAGGGGTGCACCGGATTTGGAATTTTCGAATCGGCCGGAACCGGATTTACCGGATTTGGACAAAAATTCCGGCCGGAATTCCGGCCGGATTTGAGATAAACCAGTAATGGGGACAGTTTGGGATAAATCAGTATTCAAAATGACGGTTTATGTTTTTTACTATTTTTAGTTAGTGTCAGTTTAGATTTTTGATTGTATTTAAACCTTTTTTAAACATCTTTTTTTTAATAACTTAATATTTTATAATAATATAAGTGTTTTTTTAAACTTTAAAGCTGCCAAATTGATGGTTTATCCCATTGTTGGTGAACTTTTTAAGGTGAAAACAGAAATTTAAATCCGGCCGGAAGCCGGATGCCGGAAAATTCGTTAAATCCGGCCGGAATTCCGGCCGGATTTGAAATCCGGTGCACCCCTACCTATTACAGTACGTGGAACGGTTGCGAAAACTCCCGAGACCTACCGACAGTGACATCCATAGTTCGACTAGCACCCAGTGCTCTTAACCTGTACAGCACACGTTGTTGATAGTTGTACTGCAAAAACTGCACGAAACCTGAAACACAAATAAGAAACTTTCATTTCTGTCATCTTTGAAAAAAAATTTACGGAAACCAAAATCTGAATTTTGCAGTAGCGAAGCTAGCCATGTTCACAGAATAAGAAGGTATAGCAGAAGTACAACTCGAGTCGGTTCCCTTATTGTTTTACGTCCACGAAAATTTTAACTCGCTCACGCCAATCCTGGCTAGTAGAACCGGAAGTTTTTATCAGGTTTTGGCAGGTGCAAAGTGCCGGTTGTACTAGCCAGGATGGCGTGATTGATGACGAATCGCTTGTAAAAACGCGGACAAATACTTGCTTGAGTTACACTTCTGCTGTACCTTCTTATTCTGTGCCTTTCTATTCTGTGCCATATGTCATGCTATGCTAAGGCCAAAAAAAAAATATGTGTGTTTCCGGTCTCCCGACCCTACCTAGCTTTTGGACGTCGAAATCCCGACCCTAAACTTTTTTATTGGATTATGCTTGTAAGTGTTTCCACTTAGAGGAAAAAGTTTGTGGAAAATTGAAATTTGAGGCAATATTAGGGAAATTTATCTTTGGATGTGGAAGCACTGACTAAACAAAATCGCGTCCGCTTATTCGGAAAAATAAAAAAAAAGTTTAAAAAAAAAAGTTAAAACCGACCTACCCTACCTAAGTTTTCATAAGAAGAAACCGGAAACCCACATATTTTTTTTTTGGCCTAATAAACTTGCATCTAAATAGGTTAAACACAATACATTTCTAAAGGTTTGAAGAATGCAAATCATTAAACATTTGCATAGCATGACCCGGTGCTATGACCAGCTTCGCCCCTGGAATTTTGTAAAATCATAGTCTTTCAAAACATGGTTTGGAAACTCCGCTTAAAACATTTGTTTTATCTTTTTGTTCGCGTTTATGCAGTTTTGTGCACGGTGCACGGTCAATGAACACATTGTTTTTCAGTATAATGAACGAATCATCCAATAGCAAAGTTTCAGTTCAGTCATTCAACCACGCTATTTAAATATTAATAAACCTAAAACAAAGGATGTGCACGGTGTAAGGTACGGCTCAACATAAACACACAGCTCATTATAACCGCTTTGAAGTTTACTGAGTTTCCAGACCACGTCTCGAAAGACTATGGTAAAACACACACGCATTGAAATACCACTTACTCAAATAAATACTGAAATAGAAGAACTGGTTTCTGTACATTTGATATATCATTCCGTCTGGCCTAAAATAGATATTAAATACACACTTAGACCAGACTGATGTTTCATATAAAATTTATTATCTGCAGAAATTCCAAACTGGCATCTTACCAAATCAATAGAAATCCAGAAAGTAGAATAGACATATAATGATGCAAAATCCACCAATTTTTTATCCTGAAAAAAATTCAGATACCAAGTCATTGAGTGGTGGGGGGGGGGGAGGGGGGGGTACAAGGGGGTACCAATTAGTAATTCTACTACCTTGAACCATTGACCAAGAGAATGTGTTCTTGTAAAGTGAGAGAACTATAGTACCAGAGAAGGACCGCATGGAAAAGAGCATCTGTCAACCTGTCAAGGAGGAGTGCAAACAATTGCTGAATTTACTATTATTTTCATGGATCCACATCCAGGGAACGTCGTTCCAAAAAAATATTTTGGTTTCCAAGAAAGGAATTTGAACTTTAGTTGGCAGAAAGTTTTGGGCTGGTAAGAGTGGGAAATTCCGAAAAACCTAGACCGGTATAAATTAATTTTCGTACGCTAAAATTTTCTTGAAAATGAAAACAGGTATACATCTATATTGCTTTTATGAAGTGAAGATGCCAGATTGTTCAGTGATTCTGTGTATTCATCTTGCAAGGCGTGTTTTAATTAATGCTTATACGTAACTTATAAGCATTTATTACGACTTAATTTGATATGCAAACATCAGCAACATGCGTACAATCCTATGCGTACGGCTTGGCCGAAAGCTAAAGACAAAAGATTATCCTGTTCAATTAGTCAATTCAATGGATTTTGTTAACAGTTAAAGCACAGCTATTGTCTAACAGCTGTACGAATGAATGTTTAGATCCTGTTAAATGTAATTTGACCATCGTGTTTTCAAATAAATTATTTGCCTCTTAGCGTAGGATCCAAGAAAGGCTGGAATTATTTCCAGGTCTGATTATTTTGATTGGCTATACCCACGAAAAGGCACCCTGCTTATTATTATACTCTGTCTAACACAAGGCTGTCTTTTGCCAGATCATTTTTCTCATCAAGGGGAGAGTGCTGCCACTCAACAGGTTGTTAACAAAGCTTGTTCAAGTCAATAAGTCCAAAATTACCTGTGGTTAAAAACCAGTAAAACAAGGAGAGAAAAAAAGAATGATATCAACGTCATGATCAATTTGAACTTCTCGTATTTGTTCTTGTATTGCAATCTAAAAAATAATACAAACAGAAGTGAACTATATGTAAAAAGTCTCCACCATAGAACAAAAAGAAATTGGTTGTTTTGTTTTTTGGAAAACTATAGCATTGAAAACATGACTGAGCAATCAGGAGACTGCCATATCAATGTTTTGCTTAAAAATAATAATAATTACAATATTTAGTCAGGGGGTCCACTCACAAAAGTGATTTTCAGTGGAGCCCTGATGAAAAAATTTTAAAAATAAAACTATACACAAAAGTGAATATATGAAAGGTTACATGTATTTAGTACAATGTTCTATAGCGCATCCTATCAGTTCAGTAGAGTGTCCTATGTAGATAAATGTTTCTTTAGTTTAGTTTTAAAAGTTTTAGTTTGATGTATATTCCGGAGTTCCACAGACAGACTGTTGCAGTCGTTGGCAGCATGGTAGCTGAATGCCTGCTTCCCCCAGTTCTTCTTGACGCATTCCAAATGTATGTTCTGTTTGTTTCGAGTGTTGTAGCTATGGATGTCAGAGGAGTACTTGAAATTAAATTTAAAATCGACGCTAAAGGACTCCGAAAATGGCCAAGAATCAATTAGCCTTTTCCCAAAAGAGATCAGAGTGCATTCTGGTATTGTTTGGAGGGACAAAATATATGGTGACAGGCATCAAATATGTGAAAGAGTAGAAGTATCTGCTATCAAATATCAACTTTTTAGACGACCAAAAATGAAATATCTCCTTTTTACATTAAACATTTAATTTAAATGTGTGCTGCCATATTTCTTGTCCCTCCAACATGGGATTCGAAAGACTAGACCCAGGACTTTGGGAAATGGCTAATTGTTATATTGCACACTGGATAGTACTTACTTTCGCTTGTACAGCGACAAGTCAATATCTCCTAGACAACATCTTAGAAATAATCTACAACAACAAGAAGAGTCTTTGTTACCTCAAACGTTTAATACATGAATACTCACAAGATTTCTTTTCAAATTTTTTTCACTGCTTTAATCTTTCGAGGAATTAAACCTACCCGATATTGACAGGAAGGTTTTTACTCATGTCCTGGATTTGTTTCTCATTTTCTTCAACCTGTTTGTAAAGTCCTTGAATGGTTTCATCATCATTACAAGTTTTCGAAACCCTATAACAGAAGACAAAATAACCAGGGGCGTAACTCCTGTGGGGGGGGGGGGGTGACACCCTCCTCTCCAATGTTGTAATATTATTGCAGTTTTGTCGGAAAAAAAAAAATGTAATTCAGCAAAAAAATTCACATAATTTTTTGAAAAGTAATAATTGCAGGAAAAATTTTGATAAATTAACGAAAAATATTACCGAAAATATTACTGAAAAATTGTACAAATTTTGGTAAGTTAGTGAAAAATGATATGTCCAAAAATTCCCCCGCCCCCCACTCGCCAACAATTTTGTGAAAAGAAATATTAATTAGCGCCTGAATTGGCCATTGAGCATGACTTCGGCCACACGCTTTTTTGTCGGGCAAAACAAAATTATTAACCCTTTAAGTGGCATTGCACCCTGATGTGCCCTACTTTTATTATTTTACTCTGTCTAATGCCAGACAATTTTACTTATCGAGGAGAAAGCACTGCTGCCCAATGGCTTAATTAGACTATCTGCCCATGTGTCTAGTTAACTCGTTAAGTCAAATTGTGCCCCGATGCTCCCTAATTCATTATTTTACTCTGTCTAACACCAGACGATTTTTCTTGTCAAGGGGAAAATGCTGCCACTCAATGGGTTAAAAATTCCTTGTGATATTACCTATTCAATGAGCTCTTAAATGCTTCCACTTTCTTCTTCTGCAGAGTTATTGCTTTCAAACAGTTTGCCTGAGCATTCTGCCATTGTGTCATCAGTTCATTGTATTCTGCCACTTTGGTTTGCTGTTGAGGGAAATACCATAACAAATACATTCAATCAAACACATTTTTGTAATGCGATGTTGCGTTTCGAAAGTGACATGGCATAGTTTTTTCAAGTGGAAATAATACTAATTTTGAAAATCATATAAAGCGACCTGTATACTGACCCTAAAGGCCCATTTCCCTCAAGAAAATTTTCCATGGACAGAAAAATTTCCGAAAATATCATTTTAAATTTTCAACTTCAAAATTTTTTTCAACAGAAAATAGCCGAATTCATATTAGGGACGGGAAACTCGTCTTAGACGGGAAACTCGTCTGCGAAAACCCGTCTGAGTATGAATTTAGGGACGGGTAAATTCGAATTTAAGACGAGTTTCCCGTCTAGACGAGATTCCTGTCTAACTTTCCCGTCTGCTTAGATGGGAAAGTTAGACGGGAAAGTTCAGACGGGAAACTCGTCTGCGCCCGGATTCATATTAGACGAGTTTCCCGTCTGAGACGAGTTTCCCGTCTCTAATATGAATTCGGCTAATTTGTGTCGGCCAATGGCATTTTACAAATTTCCTGCGGAAAATTTTCTTCAGTGGAAATGGGAAACAGACTAACAGAGCCTCGTTCAATATAGTATTTTGAAAATCACACAGTTAAATGTACAGTATGAATCACACCAGGATTGCCAATTCAAGCTGTCTCCCACCGATTTTCGCCGTCTATAGCATGGACAAACACCGGTTATTTTTCAAAATTAAAACCAAAAAAAATTTCTGTGTTATCACAGAAATGGCAACGGAAAGGTTCCTTGCTTTTAGGCAAATAAATGTCTGCTATGCAGGCTAGCTTTTATATAACATACAGTTTACACAATATTTGTAGTTGAATATTTGGATAATAGTAACAAAATCTCCAAAACTATTGTCCAAAATGGCTGGAAATATTATTTTAGAGTGTCTAAATTTCAAAATCTTCACAGGAATACTCCTTCACATCCCCTCCATTGGTGAGTGAAACTTTCAACACCACATTGCCCCCCGACGTCTTTCAAAAAGCCTCCTACTCAAAATCCTAGCAGGAATCCTGCACACAGAAGAAACAATATTCAATAGGGCACTGCTGGAACTTATTTTCTTACAAAGGTTCATCAGCATAAAGACAATGGACAACTAAGGCAAAGTCTAAAACTTAGTTATGTATACATCGATGCAAACATTAAAGATAAAGATGTGAGAAGCACTGTGTGGAATTAATTAATAACAAAATTATCTTCACCAGAGCACCATTTACTCCCAGAAAGAGTTGGAGAAATAAGGCAAAGAGAAACTAGGTCTAATGTTGATATGTACTATAGTACACAACAGAGAGTGTTATGTAAGAACAGTCCAACTTAACTTCTTACAGCAAGGACAGTATAATAATCAAGTAATTGATGTGATTCACTAAAACGTTTTAAAAATGTTTAAATTTTTTTCAGTTTGAATAAAAATGATTCAACTGACCACAGAGCGAAGAGTTTTTATTGTGTTACACGTAAATGATATGCAAACTCAAAGTACATGCATGCATAAAATTCGACTCAATTGTGTTTACACACCCATGCAGCTGGCCATAGCCTATCATGGGTTCACTTTTGTACTCAGACATTCAAATTAAACACCCTGTAATACTGCTATCAAGGATATTAAATCATCTATCTATCTGTCTATCGAATATCAGTATCTGCAATCAGCATCAGCTAATATCGGCCCTTGAATATCAGTTATCGAAATATTGGTAAATTTTGGTGCATCACTAATGCAAACAAAGAACACTCACATAAATATTTCATAATTGAGGGTAGACAATGAAGCAATGTACATTCAAAGAGACTAGAAAGCCGGCACTTCAGTAAACTGCCGGCTATATAGTGATTATAGTTAAATATAAAAACTCTTGTTTGCAGAAGCTTTTAGCGAGCTTGCTGTTAGTGTATACAGTAAAGGTGCTGTGTGCAGAAAGTGAAACAGTCAGATTCATATTGTCCGACTTAACATTTTTTTTCTTAAAATGTTTTACATTTCTTTTCTGTCTTTTCTAACTCTCAAAATGTTAGGGTTCAGGGTTCTAAGGGTTAGAGCCAGTGTGAAAAGTTTGTATCGCACGGCGGAGATATATTGGCCAAGCAATTTTGATGCTTTCGATATATTTACTATTAAATTTTCAAAATCTCTGGCACGCAATTTCCAAACTTTCCAGTCAGGGGTTAGAGAAGGGTTTGGAGTTGGAATCGGTTTATCCTATAAAAATTCAACTTTAACTATAGTCACTATATAACCGGAAGTTTACTAAACAGCCGGTCTAGTCACTTCGGCAGTCTAGTCACTTCGATTATCATATGCAAATTTCAAAGTAAAATAGAATATCGGTTATCTGTATGTGTAATCAGTACAGCCAATATCGGTCCTTGAATATTGGTTATCAGAACATTGGTTATCAGAACATCAGTAAGTTTTCATTATTTGTCAAATTTGTATAGGAAGTGTTTCAAAAATGGCTTTCTGTTGAAATTATTGGCAAATACTGACTTTGTTTATACAGTTAGCGAAGCCATAGCCTGCATAGCGAAGCCACAGCAAAACAGAGTCAAAGACATAGCTGATAGCTCAGAAGCTGGCAAAAAGCTCAATAATCGTCAAAATTTTCTTGGATTTTTTGGGTCGATGTTCGGATTTTTAGCTCAAAATTTGACAAATTCAAATCGTTAAAAATAATGAATAATGAATAATGAAAAAAATCCGCATCAACTTTTGAAATTTTAGGTGACGGTAAACTGATACCTCACTTCCATTGGCCTAATTGCAAACAAAGAGCATTCATATAAATATTTCATAATCAAGGGTAAATAATGAAGCAATATACATTCCACACAAAACATTAATAGCAAATCGCCCTATTAACAAAACCATAGGTTAGACTACTATTCAACCAACATAATTTAAATCACATGAGCTCTTAAAAAACCCAAATAGAAATTCCACCAAACAAACATAACTCAACCTTACTTTGAAAGTTTTTATCTCGCCAGACAAAGCATCCCATTCTGATGTCCACTCTTCAAGAGAATTCAATCCTTTAATGGCGGTAGTCATGATCAAAATACTTCAGAATCAGACAAAATACAAAGCTGCAAAGCAGCAGTTTCAATATTTTCCCTCAAAATAAAGCCTGCTGGGCAAAAACGTGGAAAAAAAAGGTCAAAATCAGACAAAATTTGCACTTTGCAAAACACTACAAATAATTTTTCTCCGAGTCCGCAACGTTTACAAGTCAGCTGGTACGAATTCGCGTATACTTCATGATAAGAGAAATTAAATGTATTCTCTAAACTGGACCTTTTCACAAACAAAGACGCCATCTTAAAATCGCAACGCATTGTGGTACATGCTAAAATTAGTAAAAAACTGAAGGGATACGCCTTTTATTTAATTTTTGTTGAATTTTTTCCACTTTTTTAAAAACTTCCAAATTGTTGGCCACTTTTGAAGTTTTTTTTGAGAAAATGGCCAAAATCAACAAAACGTCGACTGGTTTTAGCCTTCACTTTTAAAAACGTACAAAATCGCCAAAATTTGGCGAAAGGTTAAGGCTATATAGTCCGACTGCTCCGACACAAAATTGAAGGCTGACAAGAGTGAAATTTATTCAAGTGGCACTTATCATTACAAATATACAAAACTAACTAATTCGTTCTCTTAAAATTAAAACAAGCATTGAGTGTACTAATAAGAAAATACTAGTTCTTACTGAAACGATAGCATCATGGTTCCCTGCTGGCAGAGGTCTCTATTTGTCATGGCAGCCCAATATATAATATTACTGAAATATTAAAAACTCCGATTTCATACTTCTGTTACTTTATACATAATAACAAATAGCCCCAACATGTCGTATTGAATGGCCAATTATGATCATTGATCGCATAGTTAATTTTACACGCTACGATTTGGTATTGCTGAATGTTAACGAGAATATCTTCTAGGGGCTGGTTGGTCAAATGTGGATAACAGTAGCACCAACTCTGGGTTAAAATTCTACACACTGTTTTTGGTTCTGTATTTTTGCCATTTCGTTTATTTCAAAACTTTAGACACTAAAACCTCTATTGATCCAAAAGTGATTTCTGGAAAAAATATTTCCACCTTCAAAAACCAAACTCTATAAAGCCAACCAGATTTGTGATGCCGTCTGACTATGATTTTTTTCAAATAGTAATTCTGAAATCGTCCAGACAAATCGCAGCGTGTAACACGAAGCTTAATTTTAATCGGCCGGTTTATGGTTTGGGCGCACGGTATTTAACGAAACCCACACAAAAGAGCCTAGAGTAACGAGCCCGCAGACCATACTACTGCCTGTTTTTTGTTTTAACATCAGTCTAAACCATAAATCAGTCGTGAATTAAGACCATTTTCCACTAGGCGAATTTGTTCGCGTGAACAAATTCACCCAGTGGAAAATCGTGTGCGTCCGGCTTTATGAAATTTACAATGTCGTCTCATCTTTGGTTGTAGTTTCCAGTTCCCTCGCGAGAGTTTTCATCTCTCGGCTAATAGCCTCGATTTCGTCTCGTTCCCTGTCGTAATGTCCGCTTTTGTTTCTCGATCTGTGATCTCTGTTTCCATTCACTAAAATAAAACGCAGAAGCTAGGAACTCAGTCTCTGAAAAGATGGCGGAAATCGGTGGTTGGGGGGGGGGAGGAAGCTCGGTTCACGTTTCATGTGAGGTAAAAACAAGTGAATTTAAACTTCGCGGGCAGTGGCCCAAAATTAGTTGGGGGGGGGGTGTAATCGACCCTCTGTGCACAGATTAAGTATATACTTAATCTATGGTCTGTGTGCATAATCCCCCGGAAAATTTTTCTATTTATTGGGTCTACGAAACGCTTCATGTATGCATTTTAGACTCGTTTTATGATCATTTGAGAGCCACATATTTGGTATATTTTACGTCTTAGATGAAAACATTAAAGCTTACGCCCCCAGTTTATCAGTTAGTTCTGATAGAATTACAAAATTGATCCTGGAGAAAAGTGGGCGGGGGGGGGAGCGGTCTGGATCACCCCCCCCCCCTCCCATGGCATGCATGATAATTCTTACCCATGTCAACTGGTATCGGGTCCGACCCCGATCTTGTATTTTTCAACGTCGCTAATTTCTTGGAAAGTTCTGCATTGAGCAAAGAGTTTGGTGTATGATTCCCATTCGAAAGGACAAAGGATCGCGGTCGTTGCCTTTTTTGCCCCTTCTTTTTTAACTTGACGCCTTTTTTCGCCGTGTGTTCGTTCGAAGAAGAGCTACTTGTGTGGTTTTTGCTATCCTTTCGTTCCAGCGCGCATTCGACGAGACTGGCGGCCGACGAAACGGGAGGGACAATCAAGTGTTCTTTCTTGTGATGAATTGCATCCAGTAACTTTTCAATGTTTTTGTCCCGATGTGGCAGGCCGTCGCATTCGTCCAAACCTGAATTGAAAGATAATTTATACCGAAATAGGATGTTGTATAGTTCAAGCCTTCAACTTCAAGGGTTTAAGCTTGGGTTTAAGTTGAAATGAAGGGTTTTATGAAATTTTTTCTGCATGTACCTTTTGTGTACTCAGGTGAATATGATGTTTGTGATGTTACTCTGAGTGTATATCCACACCGGGCTAGCTTGAAAAATATGCCTGGGCAACACCAACACAGACAAAATCATAGTTTGTTTTACAATGAAATATATTTTTGGCTGTTTAGACTTTAGTGTTTGTTTTGCTTGCTCAGTGTTTTAAACGGACTGAGAACTGAGTTGTTTAATTTTTTGGCCAACAAAACTGCTTTTTCGCATAACGAATCGTCATTTGTTGGCGGGTATTAATTCGTACTCTGCCGACAGACTCGACACGTCCAGTAAGGGACATATCTTTCTTGCTTCAGTACGTGTTACTACAGGAGGAAACGTGAACTAAACTAAACTGAACCGAACTATATTTATATTGGATAGATGTATCTGGTCTAAACTGCTTCCCGTACGCCGTCTAGTATTAGTCACATTCTTTTCGGCAAACGCCAGGCAAAGAAAAATTTTACGGTATCAGGAAATAAAGAGTAAATGAACTTGCTGTATTAAAACTGAAATACATAATTGTTCTTTCGACGCAAGAAAGAAAATATGAAACGAAAACGTTCAACGGAAATTTTGCCAAGAAAGTTCGAACCTGCCGTTTGCCGTTCCCGGAAACGTGAAGTGCTTTACTACGTCTCCGGGAAGAAATTGACCATGTCAACGTCACTTACTATCCGATGGTTTTCTTTCTTTTGACTTCGCTTTCGTCCATGCTTCGTCAGATAGGTCAACAGGCATATCTTCAAGTTGATCAACAGGCACTGCCATGGCTGTGAGAACGATCTGATTGTCCAAACCTCCTGAAGCCAAAAGAGTGCCGTCTTCTGATACAGCTATCGTTTCCACCTGTACAGAAATACATAAAACATCGTAAAGTTTGCAATGTTCCACAGGGAACATGCAGAATTAATACCAAAGATATAAACGATCTGTGCCAGGCAGGGGTGGAAATTTTTTTTTTCTTTCTGGGAACCTGGGTCGAAGTCTAGAAATTTTCTGTAAAATTTGCAATGTTACAATTACAAAAATAACAAATAACAAATTATTGTATTATTTGTACTTTAGTAATAATAGGCTTTAGGCTGGTTTTCGTATGCTCGTACATCGGAATAGTTGTCTGTTATATACCACAGTTATGAGTTATGACCAACTAGTAAGGATCTAACGTTTAACTAAGTGTCCTATCATCCGAAAAATAACCATTTTTAAGCCGAAAGTGGTTATTTTAACCGCGCGTAATGCAAATATATACAAAATTTGCGAACTTCACAGGGCTATATTTTCTTCATTTTACAACATTTCGCAACCAAACTTTGCACTTTTACTAATTGTAAGATGCACTTTCTAGGTGTGGTGTTGGATTTCGTTCCTTCTTGTCTAGATCAATAGCTGGAATTACCCATTTATACCATAGGTTCCAACAACTCAAGGCCAGGGGAACGCCCTGAACCTTGCGGTGACTACTATAGTTTTCGTGATACCCTACCACTCGCAAATTTCTCTTCACAAAGATTCTTATTAAGTTCTGGCCCATGCTTATCATTGGACTAATAAATTTAGAAAATGCAGCCACTGCGAACATTCCGGACCCTGCGTATTTTGCCCCCTCTTCTCCCTCTCTATCGCTGAACATGCCAACCCTCCTGAATTGATTGGCAATTTGCAGATTTCCATACATTCGCCCAATCTTGGGCAACTCCCTATTTCAATGTGAACCTTTTTCAAAAGGATCTCCTTATCGTCATGAAAATCAGTTTAAAACAAACATTTTCTCGTTATAATGGACGTATGTTGCCTTTTGCTAGCAGCAAAGTACCATTAATGAAGAAAATTATAGGTGAAGTAATCACCACTATAAAACAAAATTAAATTAACAAGACTATTTAAAATTGGTCACAAAACTCCAACAATATTTGAAATAAAGTCAATGCAAAATACAAATGTTTGAAAACATTAACAGTGAAATTGCCAACCTGTGAATTTCTGGCTACCTTAAAGAATCAAACGTCCGCAATGTAATCTATCCAAACTCACCTCATTTCCGAAGGTATGCTGCTTAAGCTTGAGAAGTTCTTTCGAACTAGCCAGCGGATGCCACATTCTGACAGAATAATCACCACTTGATAGCAACAAAGGGTATCTCTTTTTGCCAACAAGAGGATAGAATTTCACATCCGAAACAGGAGCCTCGTGGCCACAACATTTTGTGAGAGCGACTTTTTGACGGAAATCCCACAAGATTACCTGTATGGAAAAAATACAGTCAGCCTGGGTGGTGGTGGTAGGGTCATGGTTTTTGACATCTACTTGATGTCGAGGCATTTCTCACTGACAATATGGCATGTTATTCTGTTTTTAATAATGGCATAGTTAATACAGAAATCACAGACAAAATGCAATTACAACAAAACCCAAATAAATGAGGCCCACCAAGGGTGTAACCCAGGTCGCTTTGTCACTCATTTTGTAGCTGCTTTGTCGCTTGTTTTATTGTAATAAATGTCGCTGTCACTTTTGACCCATAACACAAATCGCAATTTGTCGCTTTTTCCAAGTCAGAAGATGTTGTTTGTCGCTCTTTTTTAGATAGTCTGTCGCCTCTTTTTAAGGAATGTCACCTGTCTGTCATAACCCCTTGGTGGGCCTCATAAATTGTTAGCTACTGCTCCCAAACTGGTCAATGATTATCTAATTGAGTGCCCCACCCCTCCCCTTGACGAGTAAAATCGTCTGGCATTAGACATGTTGCATTAGGGCACATCAGGGTGCATTGCCACTTAACTAAAAGGTTAACAGGGTGCAATCTGATTAATCTATTGGGTGGCAGCACTCTCCTCTTGAGGAGTTATTTAATCATCTGGCATTAGACAGAGAAAATACTATTAAAAGTACGGCACAGCAGACCTTCAACACTTCCCATTCAATGATTAAATTCAGTTCCTAGTCTTAATACTCAATATGGCAAAAAAAGCCAAGAGTTCAGTACTCAACAATGAGGACTTTAAGCAAGGTGGATGTGCAACCCCCTCAAACACTTATAAAACTCATTCAATCATTTTCAACTCCTTTATAATAATGCTATCCATCATTCCACATTTGGCAATCACTCAGCATCAATACCCTTTCCACATCCTGTTTTTCAAGGGTCAAATACTTGGCGGAGTTATACCTGGTTGTTCCTTAGAAACGTAAGTCCCTTAATTTAGAAAGGCTTTATAATTAATATACCACCTTTGTTTTTTACAACAGTGTGCGGTAATTATAACATATTTGGTATTTTTATTGTAAATACCAATTATCAATAATTTCAAGGTAGCAAAATATTCGAAATATGTCTTAAATTAATAAATTCTTGTTTATCTTAGTGAACTAAGTAAATTTTGAAAACAATTCGATGTTTCATAGAAGAGCAGTTATTAGGGTAAAAGGTTTAGTAAAACTGTTACCGAGATTGTTACCATAGTATCAAATATCCATTGACCAAAAACAGCAAACGTTTTTGGAAAGTATTACTGTCAAAAGACATAACTACATTGTTTTTGTTATTAATTAAAACCATACGAACCCTACAATACATGTATGTAAATAGGGTTTAAATGTATTATTGTTTTTACAGGTTTGAAACAATCAGTTCACATTCCAAAATAATGCGCTTGTATTGAAATGCATTGAAACACTGGCAAAAAGGAAGTTTCAAATGCTATAAAAGGCAGCTGGTAACATATTTATCCGTGAGACTTAAAAGCACGTTTCAAAACATTTGATAAACGTCAACTATTTGCAGGTGGCAGGAACCTTGCTGTTTAATGGCCTTTAATGCCGCATTTGCAAAAAATTGTTTACGCACCATTTAAATGATTGGAAAAGAACAGCCTGGAACGATTCCTGTAAAAAGCATAAGCTAAAGATCGCAAGCTTAAAGCTTCTATCAATAGAAGAAAGCAGCAGAACATAGCATTTATAATATCATTGCAAAACACACATATGCCAATTGCCAAATACACGTATATAGTATTACATATAAAATCAACATTAATTTCTGGTAGTGAAAGTAATATGGGTTGCCACATTTTGTAACAAATAATATTGACCCGAACATCTAAAATATGAACAATTTTAACTAATTCTTCAAATGGTTTTAGTAATTATATGACATAATATCTTTGTACAGTACAAACGAATTAAAATGATTCGTGAGTTACATATAAATTTTGTTCTCAATTGCTTATGCCGAGTTATGTACCGCCTAGTAATTGATATTGTGATATTAGACCAAAATAAAACAAATTTCAGAGACTATTCAATGAAATCGCTTAGGAAAGCCATTAGAATGTTAAATGAAGCATATAAATTTAAGAAACCACACGAAACCAAAACAGTCTGAAATTAAGACCACAAACTCGCAGCAGGATTGGTTAAATTATTAGAAGATATGCCCTAACATGAATACCGAACGATATTTTAATTATCTTTAATTATTTTGTAACAATTTACCGTTGAATCAGAAGATCCGGACACCAAATAATCCCCACCGTTTGGTGACCAAGAACAAGCTTTTATGCTGTCATCATGGCCACCAAAAAACTTCGATGTGGTTGCCCTTGCATCCCACACTCTCAAGGACCCATCTTCTGAGCCCGAACAAATTATATTCGGATTCTCCGTATGATATTTACACGTCCAAACCCCACTTTCGTGATCTTCTAAAGATCTCACGCACTTCTTCGTCTCGACATCCCAAAGTTTAATATTTGAATCCCAACTGGCTGTCGCCAACGTGCGGCTGTCGGCCGAGAATGAACAGTCGAGCACCCATGCATCATGCCCGTTTAGTTTTGCTAAACTTTTCCCTGTTTTACTGTTCCATAAACAAGCCGTTTTATCCGCAGACGTTGTAGCGAGTATATTAAAATCGTCGCAAGTTCTTTTACACCACGCTAAACTTGTAACAGCACCTTCGTGTGTGCCTTTGAGCCTTGTACAAGCATCGCATTCGCTTAAATCCCAAATCCTGGCGGTCTTGTCCCACGAACCAGAAGCTAAATAAACCGTACTGTCGGTCGATTTAAATTCCAGACACGATATCTGCCATTTGTGGCCTTTTAAAGCCGATACGAATTCCGTGACAACACTCATAGTCCTAGTTTATAAAAACAACTTGAGGAAGGCTGTTTTAAATTTTAAGAAATAGTCAACTTTCAAATTATTCGGCGACTAGTTGCCTTAATATGCCATATGAATCAATATTAGGTCATTCGTAGACAAAACCACTTTAAATCTTTGTGAACCATGGGAATTTGGCTTTCCTTTCTTCTATTCTCCTACCCAAGTTGGCAAAGCAGCAATAAGACAGTAAACACTGCCTCTTTGAGACCGAAAGTACTTTCAAAACCGCTCACCAATATATTGTTGACAAAAACATAGATTTCGTCGACTTTTGGCCACAGATGTATGGACAAATGCTAGCTTAGTTCTGTTTTGAATTGGACGGTGCCGTAAGGTATTTAAACAGCAAAGCGACTCGAAATATTCTTGATGTCTGTTTAGAATCAACTAAATGTTGTCTCGAATTCGGAAATTGCGACTTCGACTTCCGGAAGATGTTCATTTCACCGGAAATGGCGACAGAACATTCCCGAAGCTGACGCACCTTTTCCCGCAAAATTTTTTAATTTCCGCGCAGGCTCGCCTTTTGACATGACCCACCCAACTTATCTCCACTCCCTAAAGTACGAGATTAAGGTGGTCTACGAGATGTTTACTCTCAAGTTCCTTTGTATGTCCCGGTTAGGGGGGAGGG